TTGCATCCGAACCTGAACGCAAGAGCTGCCAACTCTTTGCGGACCACGGCCTGCTCGGGCTTCAAGCAATGCTCGAAACACCAAACAAGCCACGTGCGGACTTCATCCGCCTGGGGTCCGGCCTGGCGAGCCATCCAAGGGCGAAAACAGTTGGCCCAAGTCTACAGCACCACACAAGCGAGCCACTATTAACGCGAGCAGTTACCGTGGTGGACAATGGGGCAACAGACCACGGACCTTTCATCCGAAGCTCTAAAAAGACTCTCTCCACAAGACACCCAGCCCTGGGGCGAAGCTACACACACACACACAGAGATGAGAGAATGACATGGTCACATCAACGATGCTTGGGAGATCGCATGCGTTTATCAACAAGGGACTGTATCAATTCTCGGGCCTTCAATCCAAGGCCCCTGAGAGCGAAGGCATCATTCGGGTTCTTGGGAATAAGGTGTGGCATTCATTTTGCATTCTTACCGCCACCATCCTGGATTTGCGTGCTCGACAAGCTAAGCCGAGGGCTTTTGCATAATTGCATGTGATGGACACATCTGAAACACGAAGCTTTGCCTGCCCGCACCCCCCGGCACCTCCCCCGGATAGCTTCAGGCGAAAAAACCCTCTGTTGAAGGATAAACTTGGCCTGCTCATTTAGGAGTTTCCGAGAATGGGGGACCCTAATATAGCACCTTAGATAGTAGGATCCTTATTACAAGGACCCTAAAATCAGGTACCCCTATTTTTCGGAAACTCTCATTTGTTCAGGAGCATGCCCGGTGGAAACCAATCGCCCTAAACTCAGAAAGTAGTTGGAGTATCAGGCAAACTAACAAGTAGAGAACAAGCAGGGCTTCTAGCAGGGGTCTGACTTTGAGAGCCACCGGTTTAGGATTACGTATTTCTAGCTCCGTTGCTCCCTCTCAACCTAATGCTGACCAACTCCCTCCCTCAGCCCCCAACCCTGACCTGACAGAACACTGCAACCCCACAACACTATTCTAATCAAGGTCCCTCAAATCGAAGGGTCGCGGCCTGCAAGGTCTCTCCGCTTGAAACACCAGCGCTACTCAGCGTGGCGGCTCCTTCAGGCAAGGTCAGCGGCTGAGGTTTCAGCCTAAATCTGAACCCTAAACTAAGCTTGCCCTAAACACTAAACCCCTAAACACTATAAACCCTAAACCGTAAACCCCTGAACCCCTGAACCCCTCAACCCTAAGCCCTAAACCCCTAAACCCCTAGACCCCAAACCCCCAAACCCCTTAACATTAACCCTAAACCCTTAAACCCTAAACCCCTATAAACCCTAAACCCCTATAAACCCCAAACCCTAGATCAAGTCCCGTCAAGTCCTTCAAGGTCTCGATACACAAGAAAACTCCGATTCAGAGCTCTTTTTGGGATTACCTCATAGGATTCTATATATGAACCCCAAAAAGGGGACGACTTTGGGGCCTTAGGGTACCTTGAGCTTCCAGCTGAAGCATGTCTTACTTGCCGTGTTTTAAGAACTTCGGTCACAACTTGGCGACTTAGGGCTGCCAGACGTTGACAGAACCCCGACGGCAGAACCACCAGCTGCTGGGTGGTCGTCAAAACTAGGGTCCCTTTTTGGGTCCCTAATATGCTAGGGAACCTAATATTTAGGGCATTTAGGGTGCCCAAAAAGAGACCCCAATTTTGACAACCACCCAACTTGATACTCAATACAACACTCTGCTCTCGTCTACATTCTACTCTACTCTGCTCTCTGCCCTACAACTGGTGGCTACAGGGAGTGGCCCACGGCTTCCCCTGGCTGTTGAAGCAGACGCCCGGCTGCTTCCTGACGGCTGGGCTCAGGGCTTCGTAATCGCGAAGCCAGGCTCTCGTCCAACTCCATCCGGAACTGAACTTGCTCGGGACAGCGAAATCAAAGCCGGATATACGCAGGTGTGCCTCGGCAATGGCCGTGAAAGATACTCTTGCAGCCTTCCTGAAGGCCAAAACCTCCATACTCGGCCCGGACTTCACCAAACTAAACTGCAATCCCCAATCCCGACGTCAGAGGAGGGGTTGTTTCGGCTTTATGGTGGGCCCCAGGCTCATATGGATTTAGACTGCAGGGCTTCGGGCTTTAGCGTATAGGGTTCAGGAATTCAGGATTTTGGGATTTCGGTGCTTAGGTTTTCGGGTTTACGCTTGGCCTGCACCTGCGCCAGATTGGAGATAGGAGGCAATTTCTCACACTAAACCCTAACTGAACCCTGAATCCCTAAACCCCAGACCCTGAACCCAAAGCCCCCAAAACCTTCAATCTGGGCGTTTCCTAAGACTTAGCTCCGGCATCGAACAGGTACTTGGTAGCTGTTTTACACTTCCCCCTGAAGGCCAAATTGTGGTCCCGGTTTGATGAAGGAACACCCTTATACATGTCATAAAAGTCGTAATACTCCTCAGAGTAGCAGTAAGAGTAAATAATCGCCATGTAGTGATAATTGTAATGATATGGTAATAAAAGAAAGCGAATGGCGGTAAAACAATCGCCAGGCTACAGTCCCTACGGACTGAAGTCAGTAATTCCTACACTCTTGAATCCCAAAGCCCGAACTCTTTCAACCCCTGCACCAGATCCCGAGACTTCTGTTTAGAATATTGCGGCTTGAAGCTCAGGGTTGCAGGCTCTCCTGGCAGCAAGATGCCCGAAGGAGGCACCAAACCTCGCAGGCCTCACTTCGAGGGTTTAGGGTCTTTGGGTTTGGAGCGTTCTGCCGTCGGGGGTTTAGGAAGGTTCCCCAGAGAGCTGTGATGCGCATTTTCTGGCTTGCCCCTCATTAGAAGGTTCCTTGTAAGGTTGCTTCATGTGTCGATTCTCGCCCGCTCCGGAATCTTGGGTGGGCGGCGCTTACACATTCACATATACACTGACACAGAAACAAACCGCCGCAGACATCGAGAGAGCGCTCATGAAGCCCCTATAACAACTTTGCTAACTTCTGCACCCCAAGATGAGGGCTCAGGCCCAAACCTCAACCCTCAACATCAGACTGCAGCCGAAAATGCCTGCAACCGCAAGACTGTTAAACCCAATTCGATACCCAATAATCCTGACGCTTCAAGCCTTCAACATTCACTGACCCCTGATTATAGCCCAGGCCTACCAGATCTCAATGCAAACAGTAGTCCCTACTTCGAAAGTCCCAATCCTCTCACACCCTTTCATCCTATATGGGCAGCTTCTCCGTTTTGTAGGATCTCTATGGGATCCTTGAAGGAAGAGGTGCTCCACAGGGACCCTCATTTAGAGAACTGCCCATCTAAACCCAAAGCCCTAGGTACAACCTTGCAGTAAGAGCCCTTACACGGATCCTGCACCTATCCCTAAACCTAAACCCCAAACCCTAAACCGAAACCCCTAAACCCTAAACCCTAAACCGAAGTTCCAGCTCGACTGACTGACACGGTCGAGGCGTCGGCCCACGCCAAGCTTTGCTTGGGCTTCGAGTCCTTGGTGTAGGTTGGAACAGTTTGAGGCTTCGGTTGGGCTTTAAGAGTTTAGGGATGTAAGAAGCCTGCAGGCTGCATAGTCATGCTAGGAAACTGTCGGCATCTTTAGCATGCGGTGAAGATTCGCAATTCCTCGATGGTGGTCTCTGGCGCGGCGGACACCGGTACGCTCTGCCCACTCAGCAGCGCAACATGCAGCGCGAGGGACATGACGAATTCTCATGCAAAAACCGCAGAGAGCTGGGATGCTTTCGAAGGGGACTGCACGCACATTGGCTTAGTGTCTCGGGTTCTTCATGAGGAGCAGGAATCTCGAACGTTGAGCATTATAATTATGCCCACGAGCATCCCCGAGATAGCCTCTGCAAGCCGTTGACTGGGCTAAGTGGGGCTACTCACTGCAAGCACAAATACCAGAAAAGCTTTACTCCTGCTCACCTACAGTCCGAGCTCGACCCTACAATTGTGAGTTTGAAAGCTCTCCAACCTAAGCTCACTGAAACACGAAACCCCGGAAAACTTAAACGCCCTCTACGCCCCAACACCCTCAAGCGCCCCGGGCCGGGCCGGGCCGGTGGAATATCGAAGAAAGACTTTTGGAAAGCCCCCCGGAGCCGAGCATTGCGGGAAATGCGCGAAAGCTGAGCCGAACTTCCATGATGGGGCCTGGCGTAGGGGGGCTACTCTAAGGCGGTTAGTAAAAGCGTTCCTAAACCGTTCCTTGCAGGGCTCAATTAGGGATTTCATGGCTTTGGGTTTCAGGGATCATTGCTTGCAGGTTTGGGGCCGAGGACTCCAAGATTTCAGGGTTTGGCGTTTCGGGGTGCAGCAGGTAGGGGATTTGAGGCCTCTAGCTACCTTAGACTACCAAACCTGACCTTTTTGTAGGTTCTGATTATAAACCCGAATATGGAATTTAGAGGTTTTGGAAGGCTAAGGTAGGGGTTAGGGATCAGGGCTTCAAGACTTTCGGGTTTCAGGATACTTACAGTACCACACCTTAAACCCTAAACCCTAAACCCTAAAACCCAACCCTAAACCCTAAAACCCTAAACCGTCAAACCCTAAACCCTAAACCCTAAAACCCTAAACCCTAAACCCTAAAACCCTAAACCACCACCACCCTCAAACTCACCGTTTATTCTGTCCACTCAAGGAGGCCTCCAGTTCACTAGGGGCACAAGGTAGCGCAACTCCGCTGCTGCAGCAGTACCCTAAGGCCCAAAAGTAGTTCCTTTTTGGGGGTTCATATATAGAATCCTATAAGGTGACCCCAAGAAGGAAGTACTTTGGGGCGTATGCCATGTGAGATATGATTTCGCACCAGCCTACGAAAATTGGCCTGGAATACGTAAGAGTCTCAAAAGCCGAGAGAATAATTACCAACGTTCAAGGACTGCGCAGCATGCCAAGCCCAAACCTGTAAGGCCACAGGCTAACCCTAAAACCCTACAGCACATTACAGCACCTCTAACCCCGAAACACCCAAACCACCCCGAAACGCGAATCGAGTGTGCCTCGCAATCTTGACCTCGGCTTGTGGGATTAGTTCTGACAGCCTCAGGGCTGTTGCACTTAAGGCTTTGAGGGGCTTTGGTTTAGGCTTTGAGACCGTTAGCCCTGAGTATTGAGAGCTTGAGAACATAGGGTTTGAGAGGTTTTGATGTGCAGCGTAATTTGAAGAGCTCACAGAGTTTAGGGTGAAGGGGTGCCAGCATAGGCTTCGGGGTCCATGATGATCATCGCCTTCATTCATCGTGCTGGCGAAAGTCATGAAGCCATGTAGCCTGAACAGCGCGCCGTGCCCGAAAAGCCTCGAACCGGGTTTCATGGATGCGTAGCACGTCGGCATCCAGAAGCCTTTCACTGTTGAGGAGCTCCCACAACCCAGGGCCACCACCAGCATCGAGGGTCACGAGGCTGAGAGTAGGAGCAGCGAGGGGCCCAGGGGGGCTGGAGTGCCTTACCGGGGAGTGGGATGTGGGTGCTTGGCCGCTTGGCCTAGCGCTCACCCTTGTTTTCGTAACCCCGGCGATGATGTCATTGACTCTGTTTCAGGTTAGGCGAAGACGATCAAGGATCAAAACCTGCAAGCAGGAGCCTCACTCCACTCCTCGAAGGATTGCAATGGGACGGACCGCAAAAGGATGCTTGAGTGGTCGGTGCGGCCACCCAGCCCTGAGATCTGAAGAAGCCCTCAGCTCGGAAACCCTCAGCTCAACCCACATGCAGTGCCAGGGACGATCTTCAAGTCGAACCCCAACCCCGTCACCTGGACCAGGAAGAAACCCCAAACCCTAAAACACTTAAAAGCACGAAAGCTCTAACAATCCTTGAACTCGTAAGACCTTCATTTAGCAACCTTTATAATCAGCTCTCTAGAACCCTCGCAGAAAACCCCAATTACAGCAAACGCAAAAGAACACCTAAGGTAACACTGTACACACTACGACAGCGCTCTTATGGTACACTTTAACAAAATCCCAGCCAATGCCCCCACGAACAAAATCCCAGCCAATGCCCCACGTTTTTGGGCTGGCTGCTGACGAACTCAACGAGCACAGAGACCTTCCACAAGACCATCGTGTATGGCAGGGGGTATTTAAGGGATTCTGCACGGTTGCAACAGGAATCCTAATAAATAAACCCCAAGCTTGAACACCGATTTCTTCACTATAGCTATTCGGGAAAGTTCCAGGTTTGGGTGCTCGCCGAGAGCCACACGAAACTGCTAAAGACTACCAAAAGCCATTCGGTTTAGGTGTGCGTTCGTTCTTTGTTATCTTGCCCGTTCCCTTCTCCGCAGACCGCAGATTGGTCGGGAGGCAGGAGGGCGGACTTGATAATGAGCACTGTTTCCAAGTCTAGATTTACAGGCTTCGAACTTCTTCAAGGCAGGGTGTGGGGGTTTACTGATATTTTTCTAAGTCATACTATAAGGAGAAGATGAATTCTGAGCCATGGGAGATTTGCGCGTCAGACGCACTACTCGGCGAGCTCCGGGGGCACCCGCTTTTCATTCTTCAAAGAAGACCGCTGCTCTGAGCCTGAAACAGAAGAAGCGCCGAGATCCTAAACCTCATACAGGGGTCTTGATGGTTGGAACGGGGTGCCTCTGAGGGTTTACTAAAGGGTTCTACAATGAGGCCCTCAATAATCCGAATAGGGCTGGGATACATTATGGTAGTATAACCCTTAAGGCAGCCTGCTCAAAGACAGCGCGAACCAGGGCTGTCAAGTTGAAGCATTCGAAATGACTTGATTGCACAAGATGCCAGTCCGCTTCTGCTCTATGCCCGTCCAGTACTCCGCATCTCAACACCCTGCAACCTCAGTGACTAAACCCCAGTTGAAGCGTCGGGAGCTTATTTGCAAGTGTGTTCGATGAACCCTCTTCGTAACCCCACCGGCCCACCAAGGTCCGCACGGTGGGGTCTTGGGTTACGCCGATGAAGTCCCATCCTGGCAAAAGGCCCTGACGAAAACGCTATAATAGGAGGAGTCTTTTGTAATTAGTTTCAAAGGGGTCAAATGTAGGGACCCGAATAATCTAGAAGCACTTTGCAGGGACATCCGGTTATAGATATATTGAGGGAAAGGAACAAGTACATACTAACCGACACTAACTAGTGCTAAAAACTTCAGGCGCATATGGTTAAGCTTCAGGGTTTAGGACCTGCAGGGCTTCAATGCTTCAGAATTCTTTGGCTAAATGGGCTTAGGGCCTCAGCCGTTCAGGGCCTAATGGCTTTAGACGTTTCGGAAAGGTTTCGGGAGATTTAGTCGGGAGATTTAAGGGGAAACTTGGAAATCATAGAAGTTTCAGGGCAGAGGGCCTTTGAGTTCGGAGTATGACTGCCCGCTCTCGCCTTCAGATTTTAGGATTCCTGGTAAGGGGCGCAAACCCCTGAACCCCTAAAACGTCTCAAAGCCTAAACCCTAAACCCCCGTAAACCAACCCCCTAATCCTTACCCATAATCCCCAAAGCAGTTCCTTTTTGGGATTACCTTGTAAGATTCTATATATGAACCCCCAAGAAGGGGGACTACTTCGGGGCCTTGGGGTCACCCCCCTCCTTGATGCCCATAATAAGGACCCAATAAGGCCTATTTAAGGAAGTATAGTCTCCTACCCCCTCCCCTTCCTCAACCCTAAACCCTAAAACCTAAACCCTAGACCCTAAACCCTAAACCCTAAACCCTAACCCCCCTAAGGGCCCCTGAAACCTTGAAGGGAAGAGAGACCTTTTCACCGAGGCCTGCCTCCCTGGACGGTTGCAAAACATAAGCAAAAGATATCATATATAGTATATAATGTAATATATTAATAATAACAATAATAATAGTAATAATAAGACTAATAATAATAAGACTAATAAGACTAATAAGACTAATAGGACTAATAATAGACAATAACAGATAATATATTCATAACCAATGTCTAACAGAAGTAAAACGTTGTAGAAAGCCAGGGTATCAAGTGCAAGGCTTTGGGGCTGACAAGGTGCTTAGGGTTTAGGGTATATCATAACTGTCAACTAGAACTGGGATTATGAGACAGGCTAGTTGGGGCTTTGGTGCTTTTGATGCTTTTCGGCATTGCTGTGAAAGGCATCTTCATTTTCGGATGAGGGTCAGGGTTTCGGTCCGGTCTGTTCCAGTCTCGCTCCGTCATTTCCAGCCAGTGCTTGTTGCCGTCGACATTCGAAGTGCAAAGTCAACGACGACAGAACACGAGTCGATCGGCAGGGATTGGCGTAGGTTCAGACCTCGTTCAGCCAAGCTGCCTGGAACTTCCAGTCGCCTTTGGCGATCTCCAGTTGCAGCGTCAGCTCTCTTCGGCTCGGCGGCAAACTGAAGGTTCTCCACCACGGCTCTCTGAAGAGCCATCAAGAATCAAGGTCAGGTTCACACCTTCGGGGCTTAAGCCATGTCTTGCGGTGGTTCAAAACTGACCATACCAGCATCATGAGGGATCTGTTCGTGTTTCCCTGCCTTCATCGCCGTGGATGGCAATGGGCACGATTCACCGGATGAGTCGGTCCCCAAAGCCCGTGCTGTCCTGCACGTTGCCAGAATGCGGCCCAAGACGAGGACCTCCACTTCAAGGGTTTTGATGCAGATTGGCACGTGGGCCACAATGAAACTTAGAGATTCAAACCCCGCAAAGAAAAAGCTCCTGCTCGATTTCAGCGCATACACTGGGCTGCATAGTATGGACTAGTACTAAACCTTAAACCCTAAACCAAAGCCCCTAAAGCCCTAAATTGCGTTTGGGAATTCGAGGGGAGGGCAGCGCTGCAGGCTTCTGAGTTAGAACACATCTTCCCTCAAAGAGCATTACGGGTATCCGGGCCCTGACATAATCAATTCTGAAATGGCAGGAAATCCTAAAACCCCGAAAGAAAATTTAGTGACATTCTGGTAGTAAGGATTCAGGAACCTTTGTTGTATGAAAGCCCGACAATTCCGCCTTGCGGTCCTAAGACATCTCCCATAAACACAAACACTCAGGGCTCGGGTGTTTGGGCTTCTGCTGTGTTGGATTTCGGGCTTAGGGAACCCCCTTAGGGTTTTAGGGTTTAGGGTGTAGGGTTTTAGGGTTTAGGGGGGCTTAGGGAACCCCTTTAGGTTCTAGGGTTAGGGTATTTTCCCTAAATCGCTGAGCCCCTTAACTCCAAACATTCCCTAGCTGCACCTGTCAGCTGCCGAAGAGGGCCAGTGGGGATGGCAGGCGACCTTCGCGTGAGCATGGGCGAAGCGAAAAATCACCTGATGAAACTCTGAACCCCTCAATAAGCCTAAAACCCGAAGCCCCAAACCCTAGCCCCCTAAACCCTGACCTAAACCTGAAGCCACAGCCATGCTATCATTGAGAACAGGACGTATGACTTAAGAGCATCTAGGCGGGCTGCAACTTAACTGGAAACTGTCGCTCCGGAGGTCGAAGCGATTCTTCGCTGTCACTGCGGGGTGAACGAATGTGATGATGATTAGGACCATGACGGAAACGGCAGCTACACACGAAGAAGAAAGTGATGACGGCCGGGAAAGTAACGCAGGTGATAGTGGCGATGACGACAAAAAACAAATACATGTTCAATAATCGGACTGATGAGGCAGAGGACGGTCATGACAGTAATGACGGTGGTGATGATGATGATAGTGATAGTGGTAGTCGTGGTATCGATTGCGAAGATCACCACGGATGAAGGCGAAGGCGAACATGCATCACTTTGGAGCTTCCGATCAGGAGGAGGTCATCGGGGTGCGGCAAGGACGCGGAGCTGCAAAATTGGTGGCGCCTCTTCGTCCCCTACATGGAGGGCTTTGAATGTAAGCAAGGGAAACTACTGCTGTTGCCTTTTGAAAGGTGGCCCAGAAACTCGTATTCAAGTATTTTTGGCGCTGACACTTAGCTTTTTCAATTTTTGGGGGCTGGTTAAGTTCAGGCTATCAGGCTATCTACCCTAAACCCTAAAGCCTAAACCGTAAATAGCCTAAACCCGCAACCCTAAAGCCCTTCGAAATCTGAAGCGCCACGGTGAAACAAAACCCCAAGAAACACGCCGTAGCCGAGCAGACCAGGCCTCTTCGTCGAGAAAAGATACCGGGGAAGCCGGCCTCGCCCACGATTAAGGGTCTAGGGTGTTGGGGTTTCGGGGTTTAGGGTTTCGGGGATTAGGGCTTTAGGGGTCTAGGTTTTCGGGAATTAGGGTTTAGGGGTTTACGGGTCTAGCGTGTGTTTTTAAGGGTTTGGGGTTTAAGGCGTTGGGCTTTGGGTTGGGGTCTCGGATTCGACTAACGTTTATTCTTCGAGGGCTTTACAATGTGTAGGCGGGTGTAAAGATTTTTGCAGGGCCTAGAACAAATTATTTTGACGACTATATGACTCCTAGCTTCAGTTTAGCCCTCTGCATCACAGCTGCAAACAAGCGCTTTTGCGAAGGGAATGGATATCCTTGGGTCGGGGCTTCTGTTTCAAGGTCTTCGCGGATCATTTGGAGGAGGCTTTCTGGTAGGAATTACGGGGTTCAGCGTGGATGTCAAGAAGACTGACTCTTGAGATGAATTGCTGTACCAACAAAGAAGTCTAACTACACATTGCATGTTTTTGAGCTGCCCGTGGTAGTTGGGGGTGACCCTTTGATGCGATTGTTCCCTATCCCAGCAGCCGCCTGCTTCCCAGTCGGCAAAGAATGCATCCACGTTCGCAACCGAGAGATTCTGAGCACAAAGACGGCTTAGAAAGAGGGGCTAAGGGTGCCAAAATCACGGCTCTCTACATGCCACCTGAAGGCCGAATTGACGCAGCAGCAGGCTATGCTGCTGGTGGCCATCATCGGTGGTGGTGGTGGCATCAGGGGCAACGACAGCGGTAGCAACAGCAGCAGCCGCCATAGTGGACGGAGCAGCTGCAGTAGTAGCAACAGAAGCAGCACCGGTCGCAGCAGAGGCAGTAGTACCAGTGGTAGAAGTAGTGGCAGTCGCAGCAGTGGAAATAAGTGGAAACACCAGGACTGGGACTAGGACTGGGACTAGGGCTAGGAGTATGTAGGAGTAGGAGGAGGACGAGGAGCAGCCGCAGCAGCAGGAGCAGGAGCAGGAGTAGGAGTAGAAGCAGCAGTAGCACAAACTAACAGCAGGAGCAGTAGGCGTACTAGCGGAGCAGCAGTAGAAGTAGCAGTGAGGACGACGACAACAACGGCGACCGCCATGGCGACCACTACTACTAGTGCCACTGCTACCAACACTGGGATACGTGGAATCACAGCAGAAGTGTTCAGTTCACTTCTAGCCCTCATCTAGACCCCTGGCCTCCACACGATACTTTGGCGACAAGGGCATGTGGCTGTGCGTGCTCGACTTTGGCACGATCTCCTGTGCCATGGGAAACCTACCTGCTTTGGCCTTGGATAAGTTTAGACCGCTGCCCTAACACGGAACCATAATCCTTCAACCCAAAGAAACGTCCCAACCCCTAAAAGGCTCGAAGGGCGAGACAGGCCGGTCCGTGTCTGTGCATTGTAGGGTCAAGGGTTGTAAGGGCTATCTTCAGGCTGTCTATGGAGTTGGTGCCTATGGCAAGAGCCCCGAAGATTGCATTTTTCGGGGAGAGGTACCAGACCTGTAAACAGAGCAGTTGCAAGAATGGTGACACCGTCTCGCAGGAGCGCAAGGAGAATGCTAAGCCGCAGGTCAACAATGCAAACATCCGTATTAGCAGAATTGTCTACTAGTATCACCCGTAACAACTCCCAAGCTGTACACTCAGAGATACCCCGAAGGAGGCCGAGATGCACTCATCAAAACCCCTGAAATATAACTCAACTGCCTTGTGTCTCCAAGCCCTAAAGCCACAAATTTAAAACCTCGCGCTGCAAAAGCACTGAACAAGATCTTTTGTGGAGCCCCAAACCCTCACGGCAGCTCAAGGACTCATCAGTCGATGTGCCTTGGGCTTTTCGATGAGCAGCACCTCATCCTGCGTCCAGACCTGGCTGAGGAGTCTCCTGGGTATGATGTAGGGGCCTTAATGATTACCTAGACTATCTTGGGGGTTCGTTACTATTTATATTAAAACAAAAACTGATCCCAAAACCCTATTCTAATTGAGGCCCCTATATTAGCGGTAGAAGTCTTTTCCAATATTCCTTCGGGTTCAGGGTTGAGGGAGTTTTCTTTAGGGCTGGGCGGTTTGAGAAGGGTGTTTCGGAGGCCTCAACAGGTGGGATGAAGGTAGGTGGGATATTCCCAAATAAGAGTCCTTATATAAGAGATCCTTAATCCTACCTGCCTTCATCCCACCTTTTGAGGCCTCCGAGTGTTGCAAGGGTTGTCAGAACCGTTTCGTAAGGGTACTGTGATGATTTAGGCTTCAGATTTGATTGGGATTGAGGGGTTGCGGCCTACCCGTGCCTACACCACAAGGCTAGGGAATTAAGGCATAGCTGTCGCGTTGCTCATCATTTAGGTCCCATGCTATCTCAGCTGTAGAATGTAGTGAAGGTTCATTGAGTCGAGGCGTGGAATGCAGCGAGTCGGTTACTTCGAAACCGAAGCATTAAGGCTTGTTTGCGAAGTCGTCTAGTCCTTTCAAGGACTAGGTTTTTGCCGGTCCATTGCAATGAGATCTAGAAGACCAATATGTAGCTCCCATAAAAGTGTGCATCTAAGATAACTATGGTTCCCGTCATAAACTACTTGCTGACTTGACTATGCCAGAGAATATCGGAAAAAATGCAAAAGCAGCCTCTGAAACACCAAAGCGACACGGGCAGAGTCAAGAGCCGACGGTCCCTCTTCGCGCAATCACAAATCGGGGCTTCGGCTTTTCAAAACCTTCAACCCTCCAAACCATACGAAGCCCCAATCGTAAACACTGCAGCTACTGAACCATAAGCAGGGTGGAGGCACCCCATACATGTCGCAGAGCTTCTGCGTTGTGGCAGTCCTGGCAAAGAAGGTCACCTGCATGCATGGGAAGCACAATGGCGAGGGAGTCTAAGTCTACGTGGTGCTCAGTTTGGGGCACAGGCTTCAGGGTTTGTGATTGCTTGTTTGATACGGGGCTTCAGAATTATGGCTGGTTTGAAACTTAAAGCGCTCAGGACTCAGCACTGCCAAGCCCCGTAATTAACACAATCCTTGCACCACGAACGCTGACATAACCTGACTTCTCCCCTTCACAACCCCAACAACAAACACCGCCGAAGCCGAAGCCTAGAACACCCCTTGAGCCGTCTCCAGACAGGAAGCCAAACCATGAAAAGAGCGCAAACACTTTGTCACCAAACAACTATCCATGTTCCTGCATATTCGCACCTCCTACAGTGCCAACCCTAGAACCCTAAACCCTAAAACATGTACACTAACCCCAGCCCCTCAGCACAACATTCCCACTTCTTTTAGAACTGAGACCCCAGCCCTGTCACTCCTTAATGCTGAAACCCACAAGACCACAAAGAGCCCTTAAAAGAAGTTCATTAGGCCGCGCAAGGCGAACCCTTGCCCTACAAACCCTGTTCTGTCACCACCGTCCATATGAACACAGTATTACGATTCGCCAGTAGCATCTAAACCCTAAGTCCTGGACTGTAGATACCACCAACCCTAAACCCTAAATCCTGGACTGGACCCTTGATATCGACAAATCGGTGTGCCTTGAGCCTGTCCGCCAAGCGGTGGGCGTGGGGCTCGAGGGCCTCAAGGCGCTTTGTATTTGGGGGGGATCCTTTCGAAGGGGCTGGGGCTTCTCAAGGGGTTTAGGGGTTTCAGGGTTTAGGGTTTTAGGGTTTAGGGTTTAGGGCTTTTGGGTTTAGGGTTTAATTTTTTAGGGTTTAGGGTTTTAGGGTCTAGGGTTTAGGGCTCGAGTACGAGGGCCAGCCAACTGTTTTAGCAGCAGAAGCGAAAGCGAATAAGATCTAACTTGGTACACTTCTCGATTTAAAAAACGTCTTCTGTACGTGCCTGACTGTCTTCCTTGCTGCAGGGGCCATGCACCTGCGGAGTCAAGCGTGTCATCCTTGCAGCAGGGGCAGGGACATACACATCTGCGCTCCCCCTTTTGGCGTTCGCCAAAACACCACCAAACCCCAACAACCCAACCACACTTAAGCAGCTGAAGTCCAAAGGGCCCTCGGAAAAGGGTGGAGAGAAGTCCAAGTGGAGGAGTGCAAAGGAGTGTAGCCCAAGTAAGGCTCAAGACGCTCCTCAGTTTCTGAGGAAAAGGACTGTGGTTGCACAACAAACGGCGCAAGGCTTCACAGTGCTTGCAAAAGATGGGACATGTAATCCCCTGCACGGTTTTGCAGAAGCACGGCTCTTCACCAATCTGCAAGCTACACAACCTGAGAACCTGACCCAAACCGGACTTACAACCGGAAGCTAAGAAAATCGTCAAAAATCCAAAGATGAGCCGATACTGTACTCCAAGGGTCAGAAAGGATTAGCATGTCTCAAGCAGATATCCGCGAGACTGGCACGCCTAACAAACTAAGACCCACAAGCCACACCTTTAAGGACGTATGACAAAACGACCCCTAAAAACCACGCCTAGAGCACCTTACTTCAATCCACCTCAGGGACTCCATCCTGGTGCATGCGCTCGAGGCGAAAGCCCTCGTTCGTGTAAAAGATATGTTGTTGAGCATCTGACAACTGTTCAAGTGGCACTTCAATGCCATTCCTAATCAGAAACGCTGCAGCTGAAGCGATAGCATGATTTATTTCTTCATCAGCCTCTTCAATCTCACTGTCAGTCGCAAGCGGAGGAAATCTTGTTGATCTTAAGACCGCAACGTCATCAACATACCTCACCACAGCATCAGAGGAGCTAGCAGCCTCATTGGTACCTGCAGCCCAGGGTGTTAGAGTTGGCAAGTCAGGATAGAGACCTGCCTCACGCATCTCTTCATACTGGCGGTACAGCTGTTCGGGTCCAGGGACTACATCGATTCCATGCCTATTGATCTGGTCACGGTGGGGGTAAGTAGGGTCATACCTAGCCCTATACTCAGCAGCAGGAACTATCCCAACCCCTTGAACCCAGTGCGGAGGAGTTCCAGATGACGAGCTGGAGTCTGATCTCGTTGCCATATACAGCTCGAAATCTCGCCGCGCTCCGCGGTCATAATACTCAGCTGACCGACCAGACTGTATCGAAGAAGACTCTGCATCACTACGCGGGGATTGAGGTTCCGGCTCGTAGGGAAGGGCCTCAGGAACAACTACTACAGGATGATTTCTCGGGGCCTCGGGTGGAAGCTCGAGTGCGACAGTTCCTTGCATGTCAACAACCAGGCTGCTTCTTAACACGCGATCAATGAAGTTTTCCCAGCTATTAGGGTCCCCAAGATCAAAAAAGTTAGGAATTTCAATCCGGTTGGTGTTCCTTCGCAGCGGGGGAGGTTCAACCGTGGGGCTACGTTGCTCTGGTGCTCCAGGCAGGAGGGCCCACGGAGAAAACTGCACGTCTGGGCCTGCACCAGTGCTAACTCGCCTTGGCCTGGCACCTCTGCCACGGCAACGCAGTCCATCATCGTAGTCAGCAATGACTATAGGCTGCGGGATTTGCTCGGAAAGCGGAATGGGTTCAAGCTCTGGCTGCTCAAGGCCATCTTCGACTGGCTCAGTGCGTCGTGTGCTAAAGAACCTTCCCACAGCACAAAGCAGAAAAATCCCTATTGCAACCACAAGAACCGGAACTATTGAAAGCCACCAGCTGCTCCAGTCATCCTGCGTCGATCCTTCAACTCCTCCCTTGCCCTGAGCCTGAACAGGCAGCGAACCGACAACAAGCAGCGCCAACGCCTGCCTCAAAAGGTTTAGTTTCGCAACAGGGGCCTTAACCTTTGGCACATCGTACCCGCACAAAAGCAAGAGGTCTCTGACACGAGTCCAAGGCAGCACTTTCGTGGCAATATCTGCCAGCATGTGTTCTCCTTTTAAGTGCGACAGGTGCCACTTTCCAGACTGGAGCCTTTCCCGGAGGGCTTGAGACCGAACCCGCAGGTGGCGCGTGCGCCAATTGCCACTTTCAAAAGAAGCGATTGAGATGGATGCAAGGTTATCGCAGAAAGCCTGACACGCTGGAAACTGCTGAACCTCTGGGTGAAGCTCATGCACCAGCCCTTCAAGGGACTCCGTCAACGCTACACCCTCAAGAACCCCTAACAGCTCACACTCAGCAGTAGAGAGAGCTGTGAAGGGCTGCTTACCTGCACCCCAGAAGACTAGATTGCGACCGACCTGAACCAGGCCAGCTTCAAAGCTTCTGTCACCAGCTGGAGCGAAACTAGCATCAGTGAAAGATTCAAGCAGGTAAGGAAGAGCCGTGACGCGACGCTCATTATGCATGCCATGGGGAGGCTGATCTGCGGCGCACTGGTACTTCAGAGCGACCCGCTTGGTGCCTTTAAGATAGCAAAGGATATGCAGACCGAGCTTGAAAGCAAGCTCCGGACATCGACTCACCAATGATGTTACCCTCGCAACCCCATAGACAATGTCTACTCTTGTCTTTCCAGACACCCAAAGAAGCTCACCCGCAAGTGCCTGGGCCTTTCTCAAAGCAACAGGGGAAGAAGGTTCTGGCTCTTCTGGGTCCTGAACCTTTACAAACGGGCACGAAGTCTCTACCAGTGGAGCCCCAAGACTCTCTTCGTAGCGCTTTACAACATCTTCTATATACGATGCTTGGTGGACTAAGAGCGCACGGCCTTGTCTCTCTATTTCAACACCACAAAAGCGCACAGGATTCTTAGAGCTAAGCTGGTCCGGCTCCGAGCACTGCCAGATGTTGCGAATTTCAGCGAGGACTGCGGATGCATACTTTGCAACACCTCCAATCATGAGGTCATCGACATATACGACCAGAAGGCCGACAATGCCTCCTGACGATGCCGTCAGTAGCCATGCATTTGGCTCAGAAACTAGCTGTCTCAGGCTTATTTCAATATCTCCAATCTTAACGCGAACAGTCTTTAACGTGCGGTCCCTAAGTTTCGACCAACATTTAGGAGACCGGTCAAGGCCGTACAGAGCACCTTCAACCAACCACCGCTCAGCTCTGCTGACTACTCCGGCAAGCTGAAAGATACGGGGCGGATCAAGGACGATCAGCTCCTCGGTCCCTGACTCGACCAGACTGCTATCAACACCATCGGACAACTTCGCGTTTAAGAAAGCTGTTTTGACGTCTGTCACCCAGACATCCCAGTCGGGGTGCTGGGATATGAAAGCCAACGACAATCTTAGTGCGCTCGCGTCGATTCCACCGGCATATGTGAGCATACGATGTTCATACGCGGAGCCACCAGCTGAAGGCCCGTGATTTCCACATGCGACGCACCTAGCCTTCCTTAAGCCTGACACCGCCTTGCGAGTGAAGACTCCTTTTGAGGGCAGACGCAGCACCGCACGTCCCTGGGCAAGCCATTCCGCAATTTGTTGTTCCGAAATCGGCCTTAGCACTCCTTTTACACGGAGGCTGTCATATTCGGCACTTATCGCTGGCTTCCACAAAGGAAGTTCGCGTTTGACCTGATCGAGGCTCACAGTTTTCGTTTGCAACGGTGGTGGCTCATGGTCCGGAGCATGGGCATCAGAAGCAGAGGGTGACTCCCCCAGTCCTCTAAGACGAAGCTCTTTGACTGCTAAGGGGCACTTGGACTCCCCCGGGCCCGACAGCACCTGATAATAGGCAAGGAAGTTTTCTATGCCTTCAGAGCGCGCCTCGAGGACCTCACTGACAGCACTACTTGAACCACTAGCTGCCTGCAAGCTGCGAAGATTAACCCTAGCCCTATTAAGCTCTTCGATCCCCTGCAAGACACAGGTCTCTACCGGACCGTCTATCAGTACAAAGGACTCAAGGGGGTCATCGGGAGGGGTCTCATGATCATGGCAAGGGCTTAAGCTCCGAGCCTCAACCTGAAGGGAGGACGCAGCTTCAGCAGCCTCAAACCATAACTTCGACTCAGCACTGCAGGCCGCATCCAAACCATAAGCCTCTTCGCTGAAATCAGACTCCGCCTCAACCTCATCAACCAAGAGCCCGACACCGGAGGAAGACTCTTGGGCAGGAGGAGAAGTATCAATCAACGCACTCAGCTCATGCGGTCGATTTTGATTTTGAGTTGCAAGCCCCTGTTTGGAACAAGAAGGCGAAAGATTACTGTGGGCTCCCCCCCCTGCGTCAGACGCAGGGCAGCAAGAAGGCAACGGAAAGCCGGCGCAAGTCAGCTCCGCCACAACCGGGAGAGGAGCCTTCACACATCGTTTGAGAGTGAACGCAACAAGGAGGTATTTGTCGCCAGACCACGAGTCACCGGCATGAAAGCAGTGCGGTGAGAACGAGAACGAGGCACCAACCGTATCCCACATCATTCCCGGCAGCCACCGACGCGGAGCAACCTCTCGAAATTGCAAAACCCCTGGAGCGGCAGTGCTAGCAAACTCTGAACTAACCTCGATCCAAAGCCCGCCACGCAAATGCTCGGCTCCGCCAACAACATAGTTCAAGCTATCCGGAGCATTGAAGTAGTCACGGTGGATGGGGGCGCTGCAATTCACCGACGCTACAAAAGAAGTGAATGTAGCCTGAGGGTGATAGTGCTGTAGCACTGCCAAAAGGTACCTTTGCGTGTGCGGAAGCTGACGACTAGCCGTCGTCACACCAAGCACTCCCCCGTGCGTGAACATC